CAGATCATATGGATAAAACAGACCAAATACTACTACCAAGTAGTAGTATCTGCCAAAGCTAACTACATTTTTTAAAACTCTATGCTCATTTGGAAAAGCTTATTTCTGCACAGTTGCTTTCCCCCTTTGTGGTACTAGTAGATAATTACTGGAATCAAAAGCATGCTATTGACAGGTGCCAGCTGTCTTTACCATGTTGATGCCATTTTAACAGAAAGAATATTTTCTGTTAGTCTAAAAACAACTGTGAGATCAAACAATGGAATGAGTTCATATGAAAAGCCCCAGCCACAAAACTACCAAGACAGTAAGTTTCTCCAAAAACAGCTAGTGGGGAGAAGGGGAAAACTCACTCTCTGCTGGAAAGCAATCCGAAGAATGACAAGAGGATATGTTGTCAAAAAACTAAAGGGCAGAATTCTAGAAATTTCCCCAAATATACAAAAGTGAGAGAATACAAGCACACCTCAACAACCAAAATATTAAAAAAAAAAATTAAATTACAAAATTAAAGTGTATGCATTAATGACAGTGGTAGAAACAAACACTGAAGTGAGGACTGCATCCATCAGTAACTTTCCTTAGGTTTAATTACCAAGAAGTTGCCTCTCAGTTTCTGCTATTCATTTCAAGAGTGGCAAAGGCAAGCACGAAAGCTAACTCTGTAACCATGTTGTCAAGTTGCTAGGAGTCAAGCAGGAATATCAGTCTTCATGATGTCTGACTGCAGGGATTAGATTTTCTAATCATATCTTCCATATTGTTAATTAGTTTGAAGGACATAACTATTAAGTCTTTAAAGTGACTTGCTCGGCTCTATATGAGGCATGATTTTTTTTTTCCTTTTTCAAAACCAGAGGAAATCTCCTTTTATCTTCAATGCTTGTTCTTAATGCTTCAGGATGCTATATAGTCTAGGATGCCAGAAAATCTGAAACAGTTATAGAATGAAACCAGTTCACAAGGCATAAATAATAATTTGTTTTCCACTATAAGACAGAATCTTCATGGATAACATTTTAGGTTATTTTTCGACTGGCACTACAAAAAAATTAATTCTTGCAGTATCCAAATCTTTATATCCCGATATTCTTGGTATCTCTGTGAAAGGTGATTCTGATGTCATCTCTGGCACCCCAGAACACTTCATTCAAGTATGCTTCAACATACAATAAATTTGGTTCCTCAAGTTATGCCCTTGTGATTCCAGAAGAAAAGTACCAAGGCTTCTTAGTGGTTAGGACTGCTGACAGTGTTAACATACTGTCTTTGTCCATGCTACTGGGCAAGAACATAAAAAGCAAATCTATTAATTAAATTTTCTTTTAACTGAAGATTCTGGAAACAAATACTGATAACTGGTCACAGGATCTGCAGTCTCAGGTAACTGAGATTATTACTCTAAACACTGCTTTTCCAGCAACTTGTTACTAACAGGAACCCCTCTTGCTTTGTCATTTTGCAGAGTCAGAAGAGTCAGTTATTAACACCCTGAGACAGACAACTTCATGTAGTGAGACTTGCTCTTTAAAAAGATAAGTTACAAGCATGACTTTCCATGGCACTAAATAAAGGCAGAACACCTTGATATCAATATAACAAAGATATGTCTAGAAGCTAGCATATTTACTTTCTTTCCTACAAGTTTAATGCACACATATGGAAAATAAGGCACATGGATTTTCGACTTGAGATCAGCTAATGACAGCATCAGAAGCAACTGTTAGGTGACACTTTGGCTAAGAGTCTTCTTGGTAAAATATAACAGTGTGGAAAGGATTTGGCTACATAGTCTAAAGATAATTTTCTTGCCTGTTTTAAGTGCTTTTCAATTTAAATTGAAGTGGTAACAAGAACATTCTGCAAGAGGACCAAATGCAGGTTTCCCACTTCTAGTCAAGACTCAAACTGAATAAGGGAAATCCTGAACCATGGGGAAGCACCTACCAGACCCCTGAGCATCTTGCATTCTGAAAAGAAAAAAAAACAACTAAAGTATCAAACCCAATCACAGCAAGGACATAAAATACTCAACAGAAATGCTTCAAGTGCAGCTGACATAAAGGCATTCCAGCATGTAGGCCTAGGCTTTTGTCTTTTGATCACAAAGGGGTTTTTGACTTGCATTTTATGTTTGTGTCTTAAAATACAAACAAAGAAAGTATACAACTACATTTTCCACAATCTTTCCACCTTTTGCAACAATAGCTTTAATACTGGTGTTGAAGTCCTATAAGACTTGAAGAAGTAACTTCAAGACAGAAAGTTTGCCCACTTTGATTAATAATTATTCTGAGGCAGCCAATAACACACCCTAAACAGTAATTTCATTCTTTGTTTTGCATGTAGAGATACATTTTTGGGTAGAAATTAATTATTATGAGCAGAGGCTAAGAACAGGAAATTAATCTGACCTCATATACGATATAATCAAACTTATCATCACTGAAGTAGCTGGAATGAGCTTACTCAGCATTTATTAATCCTGTAAGATCTATGCACTGCAGACTCAACTTCTACAACGTTAAGAAGAGCTTCAAGGGAGCTGCTAACATATGAAGTGTTCCAAGTCCTTGGAACACTTGGAACGCTGACCATTCATAGGAAATAAAATGATGGAAGATAATGTTTATAGCTCAACAAGTATTTCTAGTGAAGGCAAAAGAACGTTTAAACCACGGGATTTTTGAGAAGAGAGCGTAAACTCAGTGAAGTCCAAAAGTACTGCTGGTACTTAAATATGGGTGCAAAAAACAACACCTGAAAAACACAGAAGAAAAGATCCACCTATCTGAACAATAACCATTATAATAACCATATAATAATTCACTTTTAGTTACAGATGAGTGCTTTTTGGAAGGAGTAAAAGGAGAGAAATGAAAAATCCAAATAAAATATGAATAAGTAGTTATATTACTGTCTTCAAAGCACAAAACTAACTTCTTGGAAAAAACCTCATGTCTCCTGCCTGGAAGAGTTGGGATGGGTGGGAGGGAGGGAGGGAGGGATGCCCTAACAAAAAGAAAAAAAATTAAATACATTACTGAAGACTTTGAAAAGATATTTCTTAGAAAAATATATCTTTATGAAAATGGGTCACTAAATCATGTAAACATTTGTAAATCAAGGGAATAATGTTAATGGTACTAGACAATACAATGGAATATATTTTGCCTAAACTCTTCTACAACAAATCCTTCAATTGTTATAGCTATAAAACTCTCCAGGGACAAGGGAAGAGAGGATAATCATTTACAGACTAAAGAAATACTAAAAAATAGACTTCAGTGTACATCACAGGATAGGGAGAAAGACTAGATGTAGTCATTACTCTTTTTTGCTTAATATATACTGATCCTATCCAGCTCTTTATTAATAACACTGAATACCAGGTGCATGATTCCCAGCCTCCCACATTCTCTAAGTAGAGAACTGTCATTCTCTAAATGACCATTCTTTCAAAACAATATTGAACACACATTTAGGTATATTCAAAGTCAGTATATATATATACATATATATATATATATTTTTTTTTTAATTTAAGCTCACTCGACTTTTTGAGCACCTAATGCTGGAGTAGAGATAAAATATTTGCCATTACACCCAGAACTAAGTTTGCCAAAGAAAAGCATACAGTTCACTGAAGGGAAAGAGTAAGTTAAGGAAGTTGCAAGACAGTTACTTCAATCTACTTCAGGCCACACGGACAAGTATCCATAAATATACACACAGACACTTGTTTGTCTATACATAAACATGTACACACACACAGATCCTCTCTGTGTGATGAAAAGTAAGCACCAGTAACCATGCTAAAAACCAATAATTAATTGCACCATGATGTCTCCTCTCACATGTCTATTTGCCACTGAAACCTGTAATCACATCCTTGTTGAAAGATGGATTCAATATCCTAGATGGCTGCAAGTACATCCACTGATAAGTTCTCATTTGTCAGCTCCTAATCTAGAGCCAACCTTCCTTCAAAGCTGTTTAAAATAAACACAACTCCTAAAGTACATGCAGCACAATTGCCAAATCCTCTCTCTAATAATTACCTCGTAACTTGGTGCATACAGCTTAAAAAATGTTTTGTTTTCTTAGACTCTAAAACAACTAAAACATTTCCCAAAGGTCCACCTAAAAAACAGATTTCCAATTTAATCCTATAGTTTTTTTGCTTTGTCAGCCTGTCTTTAACACAAAACTACAAGCAGGCTAACAATGATTCAGATTTTCCTGAAATTTCAGAGCCATGTTTTAAACACAGATCAGATGCAGTGTTAACACTAACTCACTGAGATAGCCAAGACTACAAACTATATTTATAAACCTACTGAAGAATATGACAATGGCTATGTCATTATGCAAACCAAAGTAATTTATGTCTCAACATCTGCTTCTTCAGGAAGTAAGCAAAGAGCAGTACACAACCAACACTAGATTCAACAGCACACTTTATACCCTCCCGTTGCAACAAGATATGCTGAGAGTCAAGAGGTACCTTTAAAAGCAACGTACAGACCAGTCTCACAGCAAAGCACACGCTGGCAAGTACAAGGAAACAAGAAGCGGAACACCTTCAATATAGGTCAGTCAGTAATCCACAAACACTGACACCTGCATCTAAGGGCCCACATGTCTAATTCTTTAAGTTAGTTGAGAGGGTGGGTGGGTAGGACAGAAGGCTTGACAAGCCCTTCCAGTTCTAACAAATTAAATGCAATCAAGGTTACTATTTTTGTACAAGTGTTTCCTCTTTCCTTCTTTGGAGTGCCCAAAAACAAAAGTTCCAATCCTTAGTGGATGGCAAAAAACAATGTCTTTCAAAAGGCTCTTAAAAAGTTTATTTTCATAAGTATCTCCATGCTAATACATAATAAATATATACATGCAGGTGTTCATTAAAAATACCACCACAAATCCATGTTCACTCCCCTGTATCCCCCATTTCAGGCAAGCAAGCTCTTGTTCCTCCAGAACACAGTGGCATTTACCTCACTAACCTTGGGACTGCCTTCCTCCAGTATTTCTCCCTCATCAGTTTGCATGGGAACAGGATCTGTGCAAAGCTCTGCAGAAATGCAAAATACTGCCTACAAGATAAAAAAAGGAAAATATATTTTAAAAACAATGATTTTTCTGCCTTTATCAGTATTATGTGAGATTGCAGTGCACATAAATAGCATTCTAGCCTATGATCTTTAATGTTGCCATTCTTCCCATATTCACTGAAATTATATGTTGTACACAAAGAAGTAAGACAATTGTTATTCAGGATAAGATGTAACTACTTATATAAAAGAAAAAAAACCCCAAACAGCAAACAGGAATATACTTTAAGTGTCATTGCTGAGTATTCAACATAGTCACTGTTTTTACTCATTCAAGCCACAGTCAGTAAGGAAAGATCATACAGACTAAAGCTGAGCAATCCTGGCACTTAGTAGGAGATAGTTTTTGTGCAAATATAAGCTTCACGTATTCAGTTTACAGACAATCTAAAGGTTATTAGTTTGAAAAACTGTCAGACTTCCAGTGATGCTACAGTACTTCTGAAGTCTTACTTAGAGAATTTTTCCCCTGACTTCATTTTAAAAATAAATACATTCTAGAATCTACATGGTTCAGGGAACTGATAAAGTCATTCATCTTCAGGTCAACGTTTCCAATCTAACCCAGGTCAAAAGCTCCCAGGTGTTCCCAATATTCAACACCACCTGGTAACTTATTTTTAAATTTGTTTGACGGTATCAGTGCAGTTCCAACTGAACAAAATCCACACCTTGAACTCCATTCTTTGAATTGCAAAGTAACTTATGGAAGAACACAATATAGTTAGGGAGATTTGGGTTACTAAGATTAGAATGTCTTTACTCCAGAGGATAAGCCATCTTTCAGAAGTAATGGATCAAATTAGTCAACTCAGGAGATCAAATGCACCAGCATAAATTCAGCTGGAATCTCTTACTCACAAAATGCAAATGTAAGCCATGAGCAGATCTGTAACGTTCCAGGTATGTTGAACATAAGGGCTCACACTGAGCTGTTGGCCTTTAACAGCCGTCCCTCTGAAGATGATGTAACTCCTCAACTGCACCAGCACTTAAAATTCATTTCAAGTCTCTCCATTTCTGCACCTCAGCTACAGAGCTGCTGACTGTCACCTTCACAGTGGCAATTCTAACCCTGGAAACTGACAACTTTGGGAGTGCAAACAGCAGTGAAGCCAAAAAGAGAAAGCTTGGTGCATCATCTAGCTACACCTCCTTCATTTCAGTGTTAAAGCCTGTTCATGGGGTAAGGCTGCCTGCACTGCCAACCTCTTCTGTATGTTGCAGACAGGTGGACAATATCTGTCATGGCCATTAATTGACTCAAGGAACAAAGAACACATTCTATATAAAGGGCCTCAAACTGCAAAATGTTACATACAAGTCATTAAATCTTATAAACAACAAACTGTTATGTACAGGAATATCGTACATTCTCATGCAAAGCATGGCAGCTGTAAAGACTTACAGTACAGTAATTTTCCTTTTCTGGGAAAGGAAGAATGAGGATAAAGACTTTCACCCTAATCCTCACTAAATATTCTGCCTGCAGCATATAATCAAAAATCAGAGGTATCAAGTGCTGAACATGACTTCTACACCAAGATCCTCCTGCCTCTGAGAAATCTTTCTGTTCTGCACCCGCAGTGGAGGAGGCTGGGCCAGGCAGTCTCTGTCCATGGTACTTCTTCACCACAACAGGTTTCTGAAACCCCACTCTGGAAATTCTAGAGCTGGGAGTTTTGGAGCATGATTTTTCAGTATCAGAGTCAAGTAATTGGTAATCTCCATAGAATGTTACACAGATAGTTTGATGTCTAATGGCCAAAACAGCTTTGGCCAGAAGGACTGCTGTGGCACTGAACTGGCCTCAGAATCAGAAATACGAGCAAGACTGAGTTTGACCTACAGAAGCATCAAAAAAAGCTTATAAATAAAACAAGACCACTCAGGTCAGGCCAAGAGCACTGCAAGGAGAAGTGAGTTTTCATTCAGAGTGCTGGAAAAACTCAAACACGAATCTCTGAAAAACCGCCATGTTTATCTTCTGAGATATCACTCACTATCAGAGGAACTGGCAGTATTTGAAACCAATTTTTATATACTACTCCTGGGAAAAGACAAAAAACTACACCTCAAAGGAGGAAAAAAAATTGTCAGTAGAACTAGGAAATTAAAAAAAAAAAAAAAAACCAAACCAAACTAAACCAACAAAATTAAACAAGCTCTTCCACTGTGGTCACATTAAATAGACTGGAACTATCCATAGCTCAGAGATAAGAGAAGGAAATAGAAAAACAAAATATATAAAAAAGAAAATGCAATAGAGAAGGAAAAGAGTTTATCTACTCTTCATTTGTACCATAATTAATGTTTTATCAGCTTTAATGTTTAAAATACATACCATATTATTTCATACAATGCTCAGAGTGAACTCACACAAGAGGGTAAGAAGATAGAACCTTTAATAAGCTTAGTAATTTACCAGAAAACTTGGCAAGGGGAAAAAAAAGTCCATAAAAAAAATTTTGTAGCTGCTGCAGGAAAACCCTAAGCCACGGACTACAAGAGGTGTTGCAAGAGGAAGCTTTGCTGAACACTATTGTTTTATTGGATTTGGGTTTTCAGTTTGTTTATTATTGCATTTGTTTCTGGGCTCTTTCGGGGGACAAAACATCAGGCAATAAACTACGAGCCCAATTCAATACAATAATTTTTCTGTTCTTTTTGCATATGTGAATCACAGATTCCCTCAGTCACTGGCACAAGAGTGCTGCATTGCAAGTTTATTTATTGCCAAAAGCAAACACTTCAACATTCCTGAATCAATGGGAAACTATCTCCATAGCAGACTTTCATAGTAGTCATTTACAACCCAGGGTGATTTCTCAGCCAACAGAGCAACTGCCTGCATGACAGCATGCGAAGAAATAACATCATTATTCTAGTTGTTGACACCACCTCTTCAGTCCACTAGCTTCTGACCAGAGGGCTGAAGGTCACACATAGGGTAATTTATTTTATATGTGGAGGATAGACAGTAAGTAAGAACTAGTGTCCTACAGAATTGGGAAAATGTCAAAAGCCTAAAGGCATTTATTCACTCGTTTTCAATGCTTATGTGTTATGCCAGGTTCCCAGGTTAAACCAACAAAATTAAACAAGCTCTTCCACTGTGGTCACATTAAATAGACTGGAACTATCCATAGCTCAGAGATAAGAGAAGGAAATAGAAAAACAAAATATATAAAAAAGAAAATGCAATAGAGAAGGAAAAGAGTTTATCCACTCTTCATTTGTCCCATAATTAATGTTTTATCAGCTTTAATGTTTAAAATACATACCATATTATTTCATACAATGCTCAGAGTGAACTCACACAAGAGGGTAAGAAGATAGAACCTTTAATAAGCTTAGTAATTTACCAGAAAACTTGGCAAGGGGAAAAAAAAGTCCATAAAAAAAATTTTGTAGCTGCTGTAGGAAAACCCTAAGCCACGGACTACAAGAGGTGTTGCAAGAGGAAGCTTTGCTGAACACTATTGTTTTATTGGATTTGGGTTTTTGGTTTGTTTATTATTGCATTTGTTTCTGGGCTCTTTCAGGGGACAAAACATCAGGCAATAAACTATGAGCCCAATTCAATACAATAATTTTTCTGTTCTTTTTGCATATGTGAATCACAGATTCCCTCAGTCACTGGCACAAGAGTGCTGCATTGCAAGTTTATTTATTGCCAAAAGCAAACACTTCAACATTCCTGAATCAATGGGAAACTATCTCCATAGCAGACTTTCATAGTAGTCATTTACAACCCAGGGTGATTTCTCAGCCAACAGAGCAACTGCCTGCATGACAGCATGCGAAGAAATAACATCATTATTCTAGTTGTTGACACCACCTCTTCAGTCCACTAGCTTCTGACCAGAGGGCTGAAGGTCACACATAGGGTAATTTATTTTATATGTGGAGGATAGACAGTAAGTAAGAACTAGTGTCCTACAGAATTGGGAAAATGTCAAAAGCCTAAAGGCATTTATTCACTCGTTTTCAATGCTTATGTGTTATGCCAGGTTCCCAGGTGATAAAAAAAAAAAAGGTTATAGATGCCCATTTAGATTCTGAGATTCAACACTTATCAACAAAGTCACTCCCGTAAAAGGTCAAAAGTAAGATAATTCTCTTCTTCCACTTTTGCTTACAGCCATCAAAACTACTTCAGATGTTACTGAAATCCCCCAATCTTTTTATTCACTTGATATCTTTCACAAAAATTAACCAACTTCCACTTGAGTGAGAATGCCCAGGAATGTCTGACAAACAGCAATGCACAGGTATGTCTGCATACAACAGAGCAAATGCATGTCTAAACTTAGGAATAGCTTTTATTTAACTCTTTAAACTATAATACAGTGATGAGAATCTACTCTCAAAAGATACCTTAATATGAACTAGCTGGATTTCTTGTGAACTTTATTGCCTACTACACTACTGTCCTGTCATAAACTAATATGGTTTTGGGACAATCCAGTCTAATATTTAGTCCTATTTATGTTCTGTCTCCTTCTGCAGCAAGGATGGACACATTTTGTTCAGTGGTACCAGACACAAACTCAGTGTAAGCCAAACAGTGCAGACCACCTTACAGATACTATCTCTTCACTACTGCACTCTGTCAAGTAAAACCTGAGCCAAACTTCCACACACTTATAAATCCCTACCACTGAAATCAATACCAGTGAACAAGGTATTTCCTCTAGGCCTAATTTTCCCCACACAGAAAGGTCCATAATTGAAAAACACAAGGTCCTCATTAGCAAGAGAGAGCTGGAATTCAAATGTCTTCAAATTTGTTTTCATCAAGCAGGCATTGCTGGGACTAACCACCTTAACTAATACAAGGGTCTCACACGCAACGACACTTTCTTTTACGGATTGCCAGCAACAATCCAATATGGACTAAAGAGAAAAACTGTTCTTCGTTTGGTAAAGAAGAAAAAACTGTTTCAAGCTTCTGAAGAGTGCAGCTGCAAGAGAAGCATTTGTTAATGTAAAATCCACTGTTATTCCCGTGAATTCTCAAGTCTGAGTTGGATACGGTCCACTGGAAAATGCCCTGATGGACAGTAAAGCTGCGCAAACTATCACCATTACAGACATTAAGCAGAAATTGAAGGTAGGTCCCAAACAAGAGCACAAAGCAAAACAGGCACACAAGTGCTCTTCCAAGGCGATGATCTAGTATACACAGCACACCTAAAAGGAGAGCAGTTGGAACAAGACCGTATTTTACTCAACTGTGCCCTAAATGAGACAGTGCTCATTTGACAGAACTGTATCGATACACCATTGCTATCACCAGCCTCTGGGTACATAGGCAACAAAGTGCTCATTTTTAACAGATGATCCAGCCATATTATATCGCATTGCTAAGATTTATATTACACTGAGTCTGTTGAGAATGTACAAAAGCAACACGAACTTTAACATAGAGAAAAACAACATTTTTTTCATCTCAACTTTAAATGTAAGTTGAGATGAAAGCAAGAGTATCCAGAAGAAAAAAGAACTTGAATGTAACTTCATTACTTACAGGAAATAATCACCAATTTCAGTGACTTCAAAAATCTCAATGTAAATCAAGTAATTTTCAAAGATTATGCAACATACATATCAACTTTAGCTGAAAAAAATCAAATCACATCACATGGTGAAATAAAAAAATTCACACCTAAACCCACAGGAAATAACACACTAGAAAGTATAAGAAAACAGCAATATATCCTATAGTTGGTTAAGAACTAGTACAGGCTGCTGTTCTTCTCACCTCCAACTTTCAAGACTGCAATATTGAACTTTGGTTGATTTTTACCTTTGACAGTTTCCAAGGGCTGCCAAAGCCCACAAGGATCCGTCCTGGCTACATTCAGTGCAAAAACGAAACCCTAAAAGGAGATAAAAAAAAAAATTTAAGACATCAACCAACTGTGGGCATTAGTAGATAAAAAAAAATATAAAAACAAAAGTCAATTGTTTCCAAAGCTCAGCAAATGTTACTCCCAAAGCTTTTAGAAAAAGCCATATTCATCTCAGTAAAATCAAGTAGGATAAACAAAAATTTGAAGCGTAAAAGAAGCAAATAGTCCCCTCTCCATCCTGTAATTTATGCAGTACTGGGGAGATGGGGGAAAGAGCTACAGTTAGATTATGGATTCCTATTCCTAACAGAAAAAAGCCATGTGCCAGTATCTATATAACTTTTAATAAATATAAGACAAGAAAAGACCGATCACCCTTCTCCCGTTACTTCAACAAATTTAGGCCTAACAATACAATAACGATGTTAATTAGCAAAGTCAGAGAGGCACAGGAGAGTAGAATCCAGTGAGAACAATTTGAACTGAAGACAGGACACTACCTGTAACTGAGCAGGACTACTATGGTGTTACAGCAAGGAGAATCTCAGTGTCTGCCAGGTCAGAACAAAATTTAAATATCATGCATACATCTCCCCCTAATTCACATCCTCTGAGTAAAATCTACAGTCAGCAGCAAGGGCTTCAGGGTGCATCAACCTGCTTCTTGCCTGAGCTGCAAAGGAAAACTTTTTGCCAGGAAAGCAGATACACTTCGATTAGGTAGCCAGAGGAGAGGAAAAGGAAAAACAAACAAGAAATAACCCACCCACCCACAATTTATGCACCATTCCTCTGAGAGAACAAAGCAGGGGACCACCCCCTCTTCCTCCAAGAACTGTGACAGTTCCCAACCAAGTATTTATCAACTAAGTACAACACTTCCTTATGAGTTCAGGTACTCAGGTTGGCAGAGATCTGACTTGGTCTCTGTTACCTTCCAATAACAGAAACAATTCATTCTGGTTTACATAAAGTCCTGCCCTGACAGGCTAGGACTGTATGCACTGACAGTGTGTCACCCCAAATACTGTGTATGTATTTCTGGTTCCAATACAGTCAAGTGCATCAATTTACTTAGCCAGGTTATGGAATCTATGAAACAGCAGAATATCCTATACAGAATCAGGACTCACAAATTACCTTTTTTTCCCTGTCAAGTATTTTTTACAGTGCTGCACAGTATTTCACACTTGCTCACCAAGTTGTTCACCTACAGCAAATACCCCGTTTCTGGTCACCTCTCACATACACTGCCTCTGTAGGAAGATCAAGACACCCCAGGTGCACAGAACAGAAACAGGCTGTTACAAGGAAAATACTTTCTTAAAATTCTCCCTTCAACCTCCCATCCAAATCTGGAAAAACAGTAAACACTGGTAGCATGTGTGACAGACTCTCCTACTGACTATGAGATACAACAGAACAGTAGGAGGCTCTAAAAACATCATTTCTATTCACAACTGGGAAAAAACATGGGGTAAAACTGGTTTCTTGTATGAGAACTGAGAGAACACGCACAAGTGCATTCAAGGAAAGTGATTATGTAATCCTACAATAATTCCTGAATATTGAATATTGTGTGTAAAAATGAATTTCATTACCTACCAAAAGTTGGGTATTTAATCCCATTTTGAAAGAATAACAGCAGCAGCACTGCACTGGCTAACACTCAAGCCCATTTCAAAGCATTCATAGTCTGTCTTAACCACAGCTATCATTAAATACTTCAATTTTGGTTTTGTAAAACATAACCAACTTCCAGGAATGAAAAGAGGTCCAGAACTACTGGCTTACCACTATACATCCAAGTTAACATCACTAAAACCTAAACGTCCAGTTGCCATTATTCAGGCACTATAAGAGAAAAGATTTGTTGTGAAGGTAATGAACAGGTGGCGTTTCTCTAAATCCGCTGCATCATCTTCTTGGCTACTACTCATGCTTGATGTACAGCACTGACAAACTGTTCCTGTCTTTGGAGTAGCTGACATAAACTGAGTATTTTTCTCCTGATCTTCTAGCATTAACTAAGAGCTTTCTGGGACTGATTTCCATTCAAACAAGCTTTGACTAAAAACAGTACATTTTGTGTTAAAAGGAAGTTTTTGCTCCCACTGTGGTTTAACTGTCCCTTTTTTAAGTGGGTAGATGCTTTACAGAAGCAAACTTTAAAATTAAACTTATTTCTGACTTATCTGTGGGATGATTCTGATAAAGCAACCAAGAGCACACTCTGCTCAAGAGACCTCAAGCTGTCTAAAAACAAACCAGCTGCTGACACAACTACACAAAAACATCACATACCCAATTAGGATATTGGGAATTTGGCCTAAAATCACTCGCAACTTTAAAAAAATACAGAAATATTTCATGTTTTTCCTTGTACAGCACACTGGCAGTCTAACTCTCATGATTTATTATAAAAATTATTCAGGACAACCCATCTCTCACTGTGGTAGTTCTTTTCTGCTTTACTTCACTTTTCAAAACTTTTGAAGAGGGATACATAACTCATAATCAATTAGAAATAATGTGGTAGAAGGAGACATGCTACTGGTGCTTCAGAGAGGATTTACAACCTCTTTATTTCACATGGTTTAGAACAATCTCTTTGCATTACTTAGGTGGAAGGAAATCCAGGAAGTATTAGTACTTGAAGGAAAAATGAACTAAAGATATCACTCTAAACAAAGCAGCCAGGAAGAATTGGAAAAGGCAGAAATCCTCAATCTCTTATTAAAAAAACCAAACCAAAACAAAAAAGTCAGAGAATGGCATTGAGGAATGGCAGTCACATACTCCACAAAACCACTATGGTGTTCTACAGCAAAACATGACATGGGAAAAAACGTCCATTATGTTTAATTCAGTGTTAGCTGCACAACTTCAGATTTTGTTCAGTATTCATTCTCTGCAGTGATGTTTTTGGTAATACATGTAAAATGGTTCAGTGTTAATGCAGATATAACACAGCCAGTTTTAGCAAGATAAATAACTGTAACTTGGAATACGTATCATATACATTAGTCTGTGCTGCTCTGCTAAGGCAACATGAGAATAGAAGGACTATACAGAAATTAAAGACAAAACACAAGTCCCACTTCACAGCACCTAAGTCTTTTTACATCAACAGCTCAAATATAAATTAGCAAACCACTTTTATAAAATAGAACATTCCTGAAGATGTCAGGGTTTTTTTTTCTAAATAGACAATGAAACAACATCATCTGCTCAAGAAAAACCAATCATTAGTGAGTTTGGGTTTTTTTATCTTTAAAGAATGTCTCCATTTTTAACTCAGGAGGAGATGAGAAACATGCAAAAGGATGCTTCTCAAATGGTCCAAAATCAGACTTTTTATTTAGAAAATCCTGTTTCTAGCCTTTGAGTCCAAAGACAATTTTGAAACATAAACTGGAGACAGAATATTGCATTGCCACCTTCCCAATGTTCCAAAACATTTACATAAACAACATTTAAGGTGCTAAATGTTCCTCTTCCCACTAAAGGAAAAGCAAATTGAAAAGTCTATTTTTAAGAATGTTTTGCTTGCACCTTTGTGCCACTTTCTACTACACAAAGCAGCACAAAAATCCACTTCTTTCCTGCTCATACTACAGGAACCATTAAAGGTTACAGTGAAAATAAAAGGTATTCACCTCTATTTTGCAGCAGCAGCAGCCTGTTGCACACTACATAGACAACACATCACTTCTCGACTGTGATCAAGGTTCTATCCCAACTAGAATCAGCCCAAGGCTGCCAACTGGTTAAGGTTTTTTTAAGTCCTTTGTGCTTTGTCCCCCTCTGTCTCTTCGTTGAGACTGAAGTATATATACATATAATGTGCAAACATACATTTATATGTAACAGAACATCCTCAAAATTATTTCTGGTGGTTTTTTTCCTTTTCTTCACGGTCTTCAACAGTCTATCACAACGGTTATGGAAACTATAACTGTGGAAACAGAGGTTGTTGGGAGTACCCTTTATCTTAACTGACTAACAATGTCTTCTTGACAGTCAGCACCACAGTAAGAGTTATGGCGATCAGGACTGGAGCACCAAGGAATTAAAACACAGTGCGTTGAGAACACTGGCTGTTTCTGCCACTCCATATCAAAAGTTCTATCCAGCCAAGAGATTTTTTCAGCAAAGTTGGAAACATATTACCACTATAAAACTCCCCTCCTCCGCTCTTGGAAATTGTTTATCTGTGGTTCTATCAGGTCTTGCAATATATCGGTTTTCAGGCACAAAAAAGTGCTACTTCACACTGCTAATGCTGCTTCTACTTGATAATGGTAACAATGCTTGGAATCCCAATGGTACAAAAGCAGTCATTACCATAAGTATTACAACTATCACGTTATTTGATGGTGCCCCAGTGGCAAAAATGGGAGGCAATCAACATACTCAAAATGCCAGCAATCCATGTATACTAGAATTCCTAATGATTCACCACTGCTGCAGCAACACCAGTGCAATGGTAGCAAGCCTTTATTTCAGGACACATGCAAAATGACAGAAAGTCTTCAGAATACAGAAACCCAGCGTTTTCTAGAGGACAGATGAAGAGAAGGTGAGTGGATGTTACACTGGACCAAAGAGCTGAAGCATTTTTCTCCATCTTAAGCAAAATGTTGTGATGAAAGAGAGGCCTACTTCTCAACAGCTCAACTTTAAACCTGAAAGCTATAAATAACTCCTTTACTGCTGATAATCCCAACAGAATCATCCCATCAGATTATTCATACCACGAAAGTCATCTCAGGATCGAGGGTTTCCTTTTGAACCACAAGTAACAGTCATCCAAGTCCTATGTAGCAGCACGTTTATCAAAGCCAGTGGTAGTAACTAAATTAAAACTGATAAAGTAGTAAGCAGACGTGCACAGGAAAGGGGAAGGGTGGTTTACTCACTGACAGCAGCAGCAATTATGAGAATTAAAGACAGCACCGTTAAAAATCATTCACAGGCAAGACAGGATTGGGAGATACTGTGCGTTTTAAACTCTTCAGTTCTTA